CTGAAGTCCACACATCTTAAAATTGCTAAAATTGAGAAACACTGCTCTAACCCAAAGGCTGCCCACTTCTTTTACCCACACATCAAGTAGCCAAGGTTGAGAAACCCTGGCTTACAACAGTGTCACCACATCACTGCCATACCACCTGTGACTCCCAGAAACTGATAAAAACCAGGGGGTTCCAGGTTGGGGAAGGCTGCTGTATAAGGAAATTAAACTGGGCTAATTTGCATTAAAACACAACCTTCATAAATTTCTCTACCATGCCAAGTTGCATGTCTTTGACATGATGAGAGAAGGCTGCCCCTGCACTGTTTTTCCCTCTTCCTGGTGTGGCTTGGCAGACATTCCTTGGGAGGACACGGAAAATCTTCTACTTCATCCTGCAAGAAGCAGAAATGAACTTTGGACCTTGGCCAGGTTACAGGAAGAAAGATCAGAAGCCACCACCTGCCTTACTGATCCTGCCAACACTGCCTCCATTCTTCTTCCTTTTACTAACAGGTGAGTTGCCTCTCCCCCTCCTTTTCCTCCTCCTCTGCTTCTTCTTATGCAAATAACAAGCCATCTAGAGTTATGAGAATCGACAGCATACAAACTTTGTAAATAGATAAATATCCGAAAGAAAATTCACAAAGTGAAAAAACAAAGGTACTGTAAAGCAGTGTTTCTCAACCTCGGCAACTTGAAGACGTGTGGACTTCAACTCCCAGAATTCCCCAGCCAGCATGGCTGGCTGGGGAATTCTGGGAGCTGAAGTCCACACGTCTTCAGGTTGCCGAGGTTGAGAAACACTGCTGGAATGTATCCTGCATTTGTAAAACCAGTACTATATATCAGTGTCCAAGTAGGCTTGCCGAAATAGATGATTCTCCTTGGAGTTGGGCAGCCTGAACAAATAAATAAAATAATAAATAAACAAATAAGCTTTTAGTGTTGTTGTTGTTCAGTCGTTAAGTCGTGTCCGACTCTTCGTGACCCCATGAACCATATTGCGCCAGGTCTTCCTGTCCTTCACTGCCTCCCTGAGTTGCTCAGTTTCATGCTCAAGCTTTTAGTAACCAGTGGCAAACCTGCATTGTAGGGGTTGCCATATCACGAAGGGAGGGAATCCCATAGCAGGGGTATCCCCAGGAAAACCCTTCTTCAGGTCATTGCTGGATGGAGCTGTGACAAACTGGCGTAATTAATGGTGCCTTTCCCCATCTGGTAGCCGAGAAGGGCGATTTGGCTACCAGATGGGGTGTTTTGGGGAGACCAACCCAAGATTCATCTATTTTCAAGTCAATTCACTTTTCTCCTTGAGACTGGTGTGGTTAAAATGAAAATGCATAACTGTATTTGCTTACAATGAGCCTCTGCCACATTTCCTCCCCTTTCCATAACTCGGTTGTAGCCCCTATATTTAATGTGTTGATTTTCAGCTCCTTGGTGCAAAGTCTTTGCACAGTTGATATCAATGATACTATCAGGGGTGTCCGGTGAATGCTACATGATGAAAGTTTTCATGGATTAAGTGGAGCATCTGCATTATCTGCTATTACCATAGGATTTTAGAAAGGTATATCTATATATATGAAAAGATATACCTTTTTCCTGCGGTAGCTGTTTCATCTGGGAATTCTCCAAGGAGAGCAAGGGGCAAAAATCCTTCCCTGCCTCCATGTCCTTTAATCCATGTCCTTTTCCTCCACATGATGATGAAAATCTTCTTTTTGAAGTCTTTACACACACACACACACACACACACACAGACTTTTAATTAATTAATTAAAATTAATTAATGTGGGTATTTATTTTTTAAATTGTTTTTGGGTTTTACTCTAACTGCGAGCTGCCCAGAGTCACCCTCTGGAGGAGATGGGTGGCATATAAATTTAGTAAATAAACAAACAAATAAACATCCTCCTTCATTTAAGCCCTCTTTCTATATTTGCAAACAACAACCGTGCCTTCGTTCTGTAATGCTGTATCATCCCAAAGAAATCAAATTCACATTGTTGACCGCCCTCACCCCCTTGCTTCCCTTACTGCTTTCAAGGGTAGAAAACAGATTTCAATTTTCACTTTTATATGAAATTCCCAACTGCAATGTCTAAATTTAGATTTGGACCAAAGTTCAGAGTTGGACCCTGCAAATGAATATGCAAATCTCAAACATCTAATCTGTGTTGTGTGATCTTGAATAGGCACAGAATCATAAACCTACTTCTCTCCTCCAGGGAGTGTGGCACTCAAATCTTGGCTGCTTAATGGTGGAACTGGGCCCTTGATGTACCTGTATGGCAGATCATGAGGACTTTGAACTAGGCGGGTGCCAGTTGATGTGAAACAGGCTTTCCCTCCTGCTGCTCTGTAGATATGATAGACTTTGGTTCCCCAAATTTCAGCCAAATGTGAATCAAATGCAATTGTATGCCAGTATCTTGTTCTTCTCCATGTAGATGTTATTGCTTCCCACCCAACAAACAGCTGTTTGGAAGAATGGGGGAGAGCAATCTTTCCAGGCTGGAATAGAGGGGAAATTGCCCTTCTCATCCTAACAGGGAGAAGCTTAAGAAACTGAGAAAGCGAGTGTGTATGTGCCCTTGAATTAGGCCAGGCCTGCTGTTGACTTCAGCCATATTCAATGCTACGCAACTTTTCTTGAGCGTAGTGCAACCAGTGCTTGTGAATAGAAGAAAATTGTTTGCTCAGTTTTGGCACTAGACCAGAGGTGGTCAACGTTTGCTCAAGGTCCCCTTTTTGCAGCCCACAGAGCCTACTCTGACCATCATTGCAGTAAACTGACAGCATAATTTCCTATCATGCGGAGATCAGACATAATATGAAAACAATAGTGTAAGCCCTAAAATAAGAATATCACAGTTAGAAAGCAAAGAAAAACCCTAACATATCCCTGCAAAACCTAGTCTTGCTCACTTTCTGGCTCTTAGATGTCCCCAGGGATAAACCTGGTCCTTGACCATTAAAAGACTGCTTATTTCAGCACTAAATAACATCTGAACTCCAGCACTGTGTAGACCTGTGTTTTTCAGACTAAGATGTATGGACTTCAGCTCCCAGAATTCTCCAACTCAGTCTTGCTACTTTCCACTGCGTTGGGATAAACAGCTCGCTGAATTCCTTTTTCATCATGGAGGATGGGAATTTTGGGATTTGAGTCATAGAATCAAAGAGTTGGAAGGGACCTCAGAGCTCTTATACTGCAATCCCCTGCTTGGTGGAGGATTTGCTAAAGCAGTGTTTCTCAACCTTGGGAACCTTAAGTTACTTTGGACTTCAACCCCACGTTGTCCCTCGCCGCGGGGAGAGGGCCGCCCAAGTTAAAAT